ATGTGTTCCGATAGGAATTTATTTCAGACATATGAGGCTGTTCAGCAAGGTGGAGTTGTAATGGGGAACAACTAATCTTGCTGTATTGTTGTGATAGATCGAGTAAGATTGAGGCTGCGGGATAGAACATTTAGAATAATTGATCAAGTTCAACATGTTTCTGACCTAAAAAGGAATCTCATTTCACTAAGTATCCTGGATGTAAAAGGGTATAAATTCTCTGGAGGAGGTGGAGTCTTGAAGGTCCGAAAGGGAGCCTGAGTTATACTGGAGGGACAGAAAAGATCCCAACTGTACATTTTGCAAGAAAGTGCAGATCTAGTTAAGAGGAGACATTTGGACAAGTTTAGTACTGTGGTGGAAGTTCAGCTTGGTACAGTACCTCTTGTGTTGGGCTCTGAGTCGATTTAGAACACAGTTAAGGAGAGTGTTGGTGATTCCGCTTTACTATCAATTTCAGCGGATACACTGTGTTCAGTTGCTGGAGTAGGACTCATCGAGCGTAGGTACCAGGATGTCAGCAATGTTTGGAATGCTTCTAGAGACATTGGAGGCGACAGTTCCAACAAGGGGCCTTCTGATCAAGTATCTAGTTTGGTTCCTGTTATAGGGTGTGCTTCGACCCTGTGTGATCAACATTAATTTCTTGGTGGAATTGGGAACCATGGGGATTGGGTTCGGGTGTCGGTTGTGGACGCCGAGCAGAGGACGAGTGTTTAGTTTATATGGAGTGGTTACTGTGTTGAGGACATTAGACAAGTTAATTTCGATACAGATGAATTTGAAATTTAGGAGTTTCATTCGTAGCACCGAAATTTGAGTCAAGGTAGAGATTGTTAGGAGTATGACTCAAATAAGAGTCTTTTGAAGAGACGTATTCGACTTGAACTAGGAGAATATTAACCTAGGGTTTAAGGAAACTAAGTTGAATAAAGAAACAAAATTCTGTTAAAATTGGGTCTCCTAATTGTAATATATTTTCTTGTCTTTTAGGATTCTTCTAGGGTTGACCTATAAATACTAGGCTCCTCAGCACAGTTTATAAAGAGTAACATAGAAGCAGTATTGTTAGTCTGTCTTATATTCTCCATATTGTTCAGTTTAATAAACATTATTCTCTGCATTAATCACTTTGTGTTTTCTTTACTTTTAAATCTTGTTTTTCGTGGTGTGATCTAGTATATTTCAATATTGTCATTATAATCTCGTTTTTCAAAATCCATTGGAATCAACGTGTGTTATTGGAGCTGTTGAGACCGATTGACTGATAATGCAGGAATTGAGATTTAATGAATTCCACTTGTTGTAATTGAAGTATTGAACAAGATCACAAATAACCCAAGAACAAGATTAAAGTAAGTAAAAGAAGAACTGGCAGAAGGAACGATGTTTTATTAATTCACTATGAAAGGAGAGCACAATACAGCAAAAGGCTTTTTAATAAAACTGACAGAGGAGCCTTGTATTTATAGTATAAAATCTAGCCCTAAAAGAGTTTCAAAAAAGATAAGAAATCTAATGCAATTTAGACTTCTATTTGAGTCACACTTCTAACAATCTCCACCTTGACTAAATTCCGGTGCAACGAACGAAGCTCCAAAATTTCTCCACCTTGAGAAATGATCCGTCTGCATCGGAATAACCAAGCTCCTCAACACAGTAACCAAACTCTCCACGAAAACATATTCCTCCGCCCGGCGTCCACACGCGACACCCGAACCCAAACCCGGGTTCCCAAAATTCCTCCTGGAATTAACAATCGCTGGACAGGGTCGAAGCACACCTTGTAGCACAAACCACATCAAATGCACAATCAGAAGGTCCCTTGCCAATATTGTCACCTTCAATGATTTTTAAAGCATTACAGACATCTCCAAAACTGTACCTACGCTCCTTGAGTCCATTGGCATTACAAGAACACAGTGTACCCGTTAAAATTGGTGGCAAAACGAAATTACCAACACTCCCTTGAGCAAAGTTCTTAATTGATCCAGAGCCAAACCCAAGAGATACTGTACCAAATTGAATGTCCACCACGGTACTAAACTTGTCCAAATGTCTCTGAACTGATTCTGCGCTCCCCTGCAAGATGTACAACTGGGATTTCCTCTGTCCCTCCAGTACAACCCGGACACCCCTTCGAACCTTCAAGACTCCACCTCCACCAGAAAATTTGTACCCTTTTTCATCCAAGGTACTCAGTGATATGAGATTCTTTGTCAAGTTTGGAACATGGCGAACCTGATCAAGTGTCCTCACTATTCCATCCTGTAGCCTCAATCTGACCCGACCGATTCCTGCAACCCGACAAGATTGGTTGTTTCCCATGACAACTCCACCTTACTTCACCGTCTCATATGTTAGAAACAAAACCCTATTGGGACACATATGATACGAACAAGCAGAATCCAGAATCCACTCTTCAGGTTTGGATTTCCCGTCAGATACGGCCAACATCACATCTCCATCATCACAAATTTTTTTAGCAATATTAGTCTCGTTCGAATTACCTGATTGCCCTGCATGATTTGCATGTAAATCATCTTTACCTTGCAACTTGTTGCAATCTTTGTTGATGTGTCCTTTCCTCTTGCAGTAATAACAATACACATTGTTGTACTTCACCTTCGATCTACCCCTCCGTCGATCACCATGAGTAACAAAAGCATCCCCACTTCTAGATGCAGGATTTCCAACCAACAACTCCATCTTCTCTTTTGAGAACAGGGCGTCGTATATCTTCTCGATGGATAACGTATCACAACTATACAAAATAGTATCATGAAATGACAAAAAAGAACTAGGTAGCGAACACAATAGGACCAAGCTAGATCCTCTTCATCATATTTTACCTCCAACATTTCTAATCTGCAACGATCTCCTTGAATACAGCAAGGTGGTCCTGCAGTGACCCTCCTTCTGCTATGCGATGAGAATACAACCTCTGCTTTAGAGTCAGTTTACTCGTCAAACTTTGTCATGCATAACTCTCCAGCTTGAGCCACAAAGCAGCCGCTGTCTTCTCTTTCAAAACATCTTGCAGCAAATTGTTGGATAAATGAAGTTGAATTTGCGGTAAAGCCTTCCGATCCTTCTGTTGTTTCTCCTCCATAGACAAGTTTGCTGGCATCCTATCAAAACCCAGCAAAGCATCATCAAGATCCATCTGCGTCAAAACAGCTCTCACCTTTACTTGCCACAGCGAAAATCTTGTATTGCGATCCAATAGCGGAATTTCATACTTCAACGAATTCATCTCTGAAAAATCTCAATCAAATCACGAAGAACTTGCAACTTGCAACACCCAAAATTGAAAACTACCGAACGTGCAAGGGGCAAAATAGTCCAGAACCACAATTTTGCCCAAAATTGAAATTGGACACCACCATAAGGTCCGTTTCGTTGTCCGAAGAAAACTGCCTGAAGACACCATTGCCGAAAAACGCTGCACGAGCCACCACTCTCCTCGTTGGAGTTCCATCGCCGGCTACCGTCCGGAAACGCGCCGACAACTTGTGATCCTTTCTAGACCGTCTCTGCCTGCTGAGTCCACTGGTGGTGTTCGTTTCTCCAAACTTTTTTTGATTTGACCAAAAAACGCAAAAATAGATTCGGCAGAAAGTCGAAAAATTGGACAGATTCGTTTTCTGATTTTCTGGTAATTTTCAGACGATTTTTTGATCAGTTTCAGGTAAAAAATCCACCAATACCCCGCTCTGATACCACTTGTTGAGACCGATTGACCAATAATGTAGGAATTGAGATTTAATGAATTTCACTTGTTGTAATTGAAGTATTGAACAAGATCACAAATAATCCAAGAACAAGATTAAAGTAAGTAAAAGAAGAACTGGTAGAAGGAACGATGTTTTATTAATTCACTATGAAAGGAGAGGACAATACAGCAAAAAGCTTTTTAATAAAATTGACAGAGGAACCTTGTATTTATAATATAAAATCTAACCCCAAAAAAGTCCAAAAAAAAGTAAGAAATATAATGCAATTTCGACTCCTATTTGAGTGACACTTGCTTCCGCGCCCAACACTAAGTTTCACGCAATAAACTTCCAAGCGGCCGCCTTGGGAAATTCAGATTATGCAGCCATGTTTTGAAGCTGGAATCAGTCCTTTTTGTCACTGTTCAAGTATTTATGTATGTATGCAATGTATTTATAAATGTATGTAAGCACAAAGGATTAAGAAAACGGCCTGAATCTATAATTTTTTAATCCCAAATTTTTTTTTAATCGAAATCTCGCAAAATCTCGGTACCCTTAACATCTTTCTATAATCTGTACTTCTTCAATATTCTGAGAGTAACCCCTTTTGGTAAAGCTCTGTATCTTTATAGAATTTTTGTTATATTTGTTTCCGGGTTGTGTTGTATATATAAAATAGCAATCCTGGAGTTGCCGGAGAGTGTAGAAACGACTGACGTTGAACACCCACAACAGCCGTGCCGAGAGTACCGTGCGGCGGAGATCTAGTGCCGTGGAAGTACTGGAGTCAGAATCCAACTCTTTTGAGTCGGTGAATGACAATGAAATCGATTTCATTAACACCAATGGTATGGGAAATCTGTGTGGAAGAGTGGTGGAATCGATGCGGGAAGAGCCTACTGAATTACCCTAATGCTAATATTATGTATAAAGCTATCAATTCAAATTCTGCACGCCCAAAAATACATTTACATTCATCTATTGCCCGTTTAGTTTGGTAAGTGCTTTACGGAATTAGTTGGTTTCTGATTTAATGTCTCAGGAACAATGGGCTTATGAATTACCCTATTTAAATTGGGTTGTCAATGTAGTTTAAAGTAGTAAGTTAAGAAATGGGTTTTCTCGAGTGTCATTTGTTGTGTTTATGGTATGCCCATCCGAAAGTTGTCCTTTCTTTGTGTTGTTCTGTTATTTTTTTGGGGTCGGGGGTATTCTCAGGAAGTTATGAAATGTATATAGGGCGAGAAAGTAACCTATAGAAAATTATGAGTAATTTCTGACATGGGCATGAGAACAGACGGAGATTCGAGTAAGAAGATGGTATAACTAAATGGCATTCATTGTCCCAATGTAAAATTATGAGCAATTTGTATGCATCGACTGGTACGATTATTATTTCTATGTGATGGGAAATCTGTGTGGAGGATTGGTGGAATCGGTGCGGGAAGAGCCGACTGAATTATCCCTAATGCTAATATTATGTATAAAGCCATCATTTCAAATTCTGCACGCCCAAAAATACATGTGCATTCATCTATTGCCCGTTTAATTTGGTAAGTGCTTTACGGAATTAGCTGATTTCTGATTTAATGTTTCAGAACACAACGATCATGACTGGGTTATTTTATTTCACTACCTATCTTGCAGTCCTGAGTGCTCATGGACTCATTTGATGTCCAGCTGCTTTCATTCGGAAGATAGCGCGGAAAGGAAAATCCTATGGCATTAGTTGATAGGGAAAGAAATTTTTGTTATGATATGTTGTCCGAGTTAAAAAATGGGCATATGAATTACCCTATTTAAATTGGAGCTGTCGATGTAGGTTAAAGTAGTAAGTTAAGATGTGAGTTTTCTCGAGTGTCATTTGTTGTGTTTATGGTATGCCCATCCAAGAGTTGACCTTTCTTTGTGTTGTTCTGTTATTTTTTTGGGGTCGGGGGTATGCTCGGGAAGTTATGAAATGTAAATAGGGCGAGAAAGTAACCTATAGAAAATTATGAGTAATTTCTGACATGAGCATGAAAACAGACGGAGATTCAAGTAAGAGGATGGTATAACTAAATGACATTATTTATCCCTATAGAAAATAATACTGGGACGAGTATTATTTCTAGGGAGAATTTGGGTGACCAAGATGGGGGCGAGTTGGGTAGTATTGTGCAGACCATATTGATAGGGTAATTAGCTCTTCTTTCTTCCAAGCATTGATTGGATAAAAAATTTTGCTGAGTAAGGCTACAATTGCTGAATTCTCTTTATTCTATTGCTGAGTAGGCTACAATTGCTGACTGGAAAGTTCATTGATTGCAGCCTGTACACAAGTGGATGTTCCGACATATATATTTTTCATGCTTATGGAATGGGATACTTAGGGGAATTTACTTCCTCTATGAAACCTTAAGCTTTTTGTTAGATAGATAAAATAAGTTCTTCTGCTTCCTACCCTGTTATTTCTTTTATACGTGATTGTAATAAAATTGATACAAAATAATTGGGTTTGGGATTGTATGACCCAATTATGATTACATGAGTAATTAGTTGTAGTCTGATTTCACGATGAATAAATTAGTATTGTACTTAGTGACCAATCAATGAATTTTTATTATATATTCAAACATGAGAGATTAGATTGGTGTGTTATTAGATTCCTAAATAACCTAAACCAAAAAGGGATTACATTATTAAGTTCAAATGTAACCTAAAATAAGAGTAAAAATTGTAACTTTATGCTCCAAGATTGCTCTTTCCGATCTTTTGAGATCGAAAGAGTTTATACTTTTGAATCAAGGATTTGTAGTAAATTTTGAGAAGACCGGTCATGATGATGATACTGTGAGGCCTAACTTTTGCAGTTATTACTTTTATAGTCTTACATTAATCTATAGTTGTACTCGGTCTTTGACGTTTTCAGCCTAAAATATCATTTTATCACTTTGCCTCTAGCGAGACTTATATGTGCATTATATATGACTTTTTTGGCAATCTATTTGATCTACTTTTCCATTTTCAATGTAGGGAAGTGCTATTTTGATTGTATTCCTTGTATCTGCTATGTTTCATGAGGTATGATGCCTTTTCCCACTTTCATATCTCATTTCAATTTATATTTATGCTCCCATATCACTCCTTTTATCAACTTTTGTTTGATTACCGTTGTGCATCGCCATCCCTTGCCACATATTCAAGTTTTGGGCATTCATTGGCATTATGTTTCATGTTATAGCAGTTTTAACTTGCATTGCTGATTAAAGATATCATAGTTTTGAGATTTAGCCTCTGTTTGAGCCTCATTTTTTTGTCCAAAATGCATTTTGAAATAGTATTTTGCTGAATCATTTATGTTTAAAAAATAAGAAAAAATTTTGGGTTTCCGTGTAAAATTATTTTGTGGAAGAATGTGTATTTGAAAATGAGTTTTGAAAAAATGGGAGCCACACATGGGCTTAGTATTATTCATGAATTCTGATTTTGCCATTGAACAGGTTCCTTTTATTATCATAACAAATTACTTGCAAGACAAGTTCAAAAATTCGATGGTACGTTTTTTCCTCAAATATCGCTCTTGTTGAGTTCTTTTTTCTGTCCTCGTCAATTCTGGCAAAAAAAATTCTTTTTGTTTTTTTAACCCTACTTTGAGTTCTCAAGTTGCACGAATATGCATTATGGTTTGAGGAACAAATTTTTTATTAAATAGGGGAAGTAAAGTTTGATTCCGTTAGCAGCACTTTCGCTGAAGTAGTCTTATAGTTGCTTAACGAATTGAAGTAAAACTTCTTGGAGTATTTATTCGAACAGGAAGTCTTGCTCTTCATACATATTATTTCGCCCCAATGGTTTATTTGCTCTCTAATCTAAAAACGACGCTCGTTTTTCATCTTTCTCCAAGGGGGCAACATGATATTTTGGTGCTTTTTAGCATACTAGGTCAACCCATGTGTGAACTGCTATATTATCACGACTTGATGAATCGAAAGGCTAGTACAAAATAACATCCCCGCAACAATTTTGTTAAAAGAGCGAGATTCCCTCGAGGTTACAGCTAACAGATTATGCTCTTACTATTTTCGATATGTTCCTATATTGGCTTTCGTGCAGCTTCGTCATCCGCCTTGGCCAAGACGATATATGAACTTAGTGCAATACAATTTTGATTCAAAATGTAACATATTAGCATCGAGTAGTTACTTCGACTATATAAATTTTTACTACAAGGATTGTGATGTATTCATAAACTTTTCTAGTTCTAATGTTTCATGCTACTCTCTTTGTCCCAAAAAGATATGCTTTCTCATCCCCCCTCCCACCCAAATTATAGGTCACTTTCATTGTTAAGGATATGATTGATTTTTAAGTAATGCTATTAAGCACCATTGGTGTTTGACACCAGTTTAGATGGAAACACTAGTTACATTAAATTACATGTTCAATTAAATGAATTACATAATTTTACTTTTAACTGAACCTATCACATAGTGTCACATTGATTGGTGTTCTAACAACACTTGTGTTAAATATCATTATTCTTGATTTTTTTTTTATTTTTTTTTTAGTTTTCTAATATGCTCTTATTTAACAATCATGCTATTTGAACAATTTTTTTTTAATCAGTTTTGGTTGATGGACATACTTGTTAACATCATATTCATCTATTTCAAAAACTATTTTTAAAATTAATAGTTTGAATTTTGATAACATTAATGTTGTTATCCATCATTGTCCACTATAATTATACAAATATATTAATTCTTTATTTTATGTGCTTTGTTTTCAATAAATATAAATTATTATTCCTATTCAAGCCATTATTCAGTTTAGGGACATTAGGAAAAATGTAAGTGAAATTTATTTTTCAACTATATGGATTATATTTTATTAATTTGTGAAAATGGATCTTTGTGGGATGGAAGGAGTATTTCATTTCTATAAATTGATTAAGAAATAAAATAATTAAAGTAAATTGTCGGGTCCAGCTACCTTGTTGGCTTGACTTGGGGTTTGGTTTAGACATGGCATGTCAAAAATTGTGGGTCGTGGTGGTCTTATAGTTGACTAGTTTTACACTTTTATGCAAGATTTGGGGGTGAAACAATCATGCTTGATGTACATTATTGTTTACACTTTTTTACGCGTCATTGTCCCATTGGACAGTTTAGAAAAAAAAAATTAGTTTTTCCATCCAATTGTTTGTTGGCAACAATGCAAATGACAACAATAGTGTAAAAATCAGGGTACAAATGATATAAACCTGAGAAGAAAGATGAGGATACAGAGTAGAACAACCATTGACAAGTTTCTTTTCGGAATAGTACTGTGTATACCATAAATCAGTACTATCTCGTATGAGTGTTGTCATGGTGCAAAATTATTACTGCTTCCATGTCTCAAGGATAGTCCATTTTCCAGCAATTTATTTATTTATTTATTATTATTTTTTTCCTTCCAAAGAAAGCCTCATTGCCCAACAACGTGATCTTGTGGTTGCCTTCTTGCCTATTTTCAATTGCATGCATGTAATCTCTCAATCTCTCCATTTCTCTATCTATATGTATATAGCATTGGAAAGGTCGGGAGATTGCTAAAGGATTATTAGAACAAAATATTTTATAGTGAAGTAGAATGTATTGGATAGGCGAATGCATAATGCACCCCTTACTTGCCCTTCAATTACTCGAAGTCGACACTTAGTGTGTGTGAATCTTTTTATGTTAATACGTTGTGCCTCGCAGAAGGATAAATTAATTTGTTTGACAATACTACGGAAGAAAAAGAAAAAGATTTAAAATCTTATATTAAAATACCAAAATTGTGTCTTATTTGTAAGTTTTTGTTGTATGAAGCATCCATCCCCAAAAGAGGCAACACTACCCAAAAGGTGGATAATTGGATGGACATCGACAGGAACTAGATTATTTTGAACCAACTGATAAGTCACGAAAAAAAATTTATTTCATTATTGATCAAGAAAATCTTGCCTTAAATCTTTACTAATTGGATGTGTTACTACCTGAACTAAGGTGAACTTGATTATGTCCTCAACAAGTAATGTCCCCTTAAAAAAATATATCATGTGTAATATAAATATAATTTAGTCACTGAAGAATAAAAATAGAATTTTCTAGTAAGATAACATATTTCTTCTCAAATTTATAATGAATGATAATTAAAATAAATGGTATCATATTGTCAACATTTCTACAAATTCGTGTTCAAACTATATTTGATGGATTGTATCACTTATTACAAGAAATTTAGTGATTTTGTTCAAGTTTTTGAATATTTATGTCTGTCTGTATATTTATTGTTGTTTGGGTTCGGCCTGAAGCTCTTTCAATTTGATTGGTTTTCCCGGGGTCTATTTCGGTTTTTAAGTGAGTTTATAGGAAAATCAGATAGATTTTTTTTTTCAGGAAATGTGGTTTTGATGGGAATTTGTGTTCACATATTTCGTCTTGGAAATGTGAGCTATCAAAATGTTTGAAGAATTCTAGTGGGCCGCCTTTAATTGAACATTCTATGATGAAGAATGAAGAAGAATGAAAGGAGAAAGGTGAAGAAGTTTACTATTTCAGAATTGGAGGAAACTGTTAAAGATTGAAAGGAGGGGAGCAATTAATAATTGTTAAACCGAATAAACAACAAGGCAAACTCATGCGAACTCATTGAGAATAATAGGTGTGCAAGTAAAAGTGAGCATTCATTGCATAAGAGTTTGCAACTACTGTGGCTAACTGTTTTCATAAAGTAACTGTTATAAAGGCACAAATGAGTAAATGCTTAAAACATGATTTCAGAACCAATGAATGAAGTTGGTGGATAAAACGCGAACCTATAACAGAATTAGTTAGAAATTTACCACTAGATGACCGCCACTTGTCACTTACCAAAAAGACCTAATTGCTTCCAAAACCCCAATAGGAAATCTATAAATAGGCCTGCCTAGAAGAAGAAAGGGATGCAAATTTAAATATCTTCATCTAAATAGCATTTTTTCCTCTTGCTCCTTACTGAGGATCAAGTACAGAGAGAATAGGATGAGAAAATCCAGGTTGGGTGAAAGAAATTTGTTGATCATAAATCTGTTATTAACAATAATTAATAATCTCTATTCACTAATTTCTTTGCATTTATTTTAGTCTACTAATCTGCTTCTGCGGTTCTCCCTCGAGCCTAGAAAAAAACTGTTTGATAGTTTTGATTTGTTTGAATATGTTTTATTGTTGCATGTCAGTTCGATTATGTTAATTTGGGGAATATTTAGTTGG